TGATAATTATTTAATTTTATCTATTATATTAAAGTTAGTCTTAAATTTGTTATAGGGCACATGTGCCTTTATTCTTAATGAACCAATGTTTCTTAACTCCATTATAACTAAAGTAAAAGGAAGAAGGGCGACATTATTACAGTTTGGAATAAATCACTGGAGGTCCACAGCCAGATTCACTTTGGATTCACTTGGGTGTGTGTTTATTTTAATTGCTGATCAGAAGGCATGTGAGATGCCACAGCTGACCAGATTGTAAACAGAAAAGTATAGAACTTAAAACTAAGCATGCATGCAACATGGAACAATAAGCAACTCAGCCTTTTTAAACATGGTAAATGCCAGAAAACTTCCAACCCTTAGGTCAAAGCCTGCACAAAAGCACAGGCTTTATATTCTGTTTCGAGGAGAGTCTTTTAGAATTTTCAGGTTCAAATTTTACTATAGCCACCTGCAAAGCAGGGTCAAAAATGTTCTTATTTGACAACCCGTGTTCTTCCCAAGACATTTGAGTAGGTTCTTTCATGCCTGTTTTTAAAGAAAAAGCAGATACTTGTCACCAAGAGTTATCCAGAATCAGCAAGAAGAGAGTCATCCATGGGGAAAGAGAAATACCGAGTTGTAACCGAGGGCACTGATTGGCTGGTCATCAATCACTATCTGAGCTTGCACACAGCATGCAGGTATGTTATCTAGGATGTCCTGAACAGGTAGTCTGAGGATGAGAAATCTCCATGGATGAAGATCGCGAGCAATTAGGACTACCCAGGAGGAAAAAGTAATGTGTGGTAAAATAGGCATGCGAAAGGGAGAAAGGCAGTGGGGGTAAGGAATGTTCGAAGGAGAGACGTGGTGGCCCCGAGGACTGGCTGCAAGGCCCCGCTCCAAGCCGTGCTTTCTCGAGGATGAGTGTGGGGGATTCTCAGCGAGACCTTAACGACTTTTCCGTCAGTTTTATGTACACAGCCCAACAGGGCAGAGCTCTAACCTAATGCCCTGAGCGCTAGAGCGTCCAGGCGGAGGCAACGGAGGCTCCGCCCCTTGGTTTCCCACCTCGCCAAGCCCCAGCCTTCATCTCCCACCCTCGCCTCACCCCGCCCTTTCTCTCCTAACCCCACCCCATCCCGGCCACCCCGCCCACCGCCACTTCCCACCGCCCTTCCAGTCGGCTCCAGGCTCCTGCAAGGCTGGGCAGCAGTGGGATCGCGCAGGCGCGGCGTGCAGCTCACCGAGCGCTGAGTAGCGGAGCAGTACGCGCGGTGAGTGTGGCGGCAGCGCGGGGCTCCTAGCCCAGGAACTTGGTCTGGGCCAAGCGTCCCAGGAGGGTTCGGGGTGTGTGCTGGTGACTTGGGTCCAGTGAAGAGAAACCCCCAAGACGCTGACCAGGACCGGGAGGCTCGCCAAGGGCGCTGGAGGGTGTCCCAGCTTCAAGTTTAGTCCCCGGTTTGGTGTTTCTGAGTGGCGTCCCGGGCTCATCCCTTCCCCCCGCGTGCCTTCTCCGGGTTCAGAGTTGCCAAGATCGGTCTCGGTCGCTGGAGAGAGGGTTTGGGGGGAGGTGGGCTGTTCGCCCGGGCTAGTGCCCAGGAGGGCGTGGCGTTCGTGTGACTTTCCTTTACCCCGCCCCCGGGAATGTGTCCCTCTTCTGGTCCATTGTGCTCGTGGACATTTTAATAGCTTCAGCCATTGGTTTTGTGATTGTGCTGTTCATCTATTTTCTATGAGTCCCATGGGGGGGAGGGAGAGCGAAACTAATGGAATTTGAAAGGAAACAATTGAATAAAAGGGTGAAGAGGGGGTGTATCAGAACTTA